TGTTTTTTAAATGTTTACAAATAATTTGCCTATATTTTTAGAAAATTTTTAAAAATTTTGTTTTTTTATAAAATTTGATAAGTTATTTAGAGAAGATATTTTCATTTCATTTCATTTCACCAATAGGCGATTGCTACAATAGCAGCAATTTTTTTTGTAAATATTTCAAAAACTGAAAATTTTTTTCACAAAGAAAATTATTTAAAATCATCAAAATCAGAGAGAAGATAGTTTTTTCTGTAGTTTCAAGAAAACAAGTTTTAAGACATTTTAATAAAAGCAAAAAATAGTAAAAACATATTACAAAAAATGATAATAATTCTCCAATGGATTTTCTCTATAAATTGTTGATGTGTATCATAAAGAATTATATACAAAAATCGTTTTTTAACGATAAAAAGAAACAAAGATCGGTAAACTGAACGATTCTATGTTCGAGAAAAAGAAATTAGATTCGATCTTATTTTATCTCAACTCAAATTTCTTTGAAAAAAATAATTCGCAAAAGAAAATATATTTTAAAGAGCTTCTTCTCGAGTTCATTTACATGAAACGCAGCTAATTGCAGAATAACATCGACTATGAGCTTCTCTTATTCTCTATGGAAATTAGTTTGCAAGTTGCTCGATATCTGCTCTTGAATTTTAATATTTTTCAAAAAGGAGATTACTTAAAATATTACTAAAATATTTAAGAAATCAACATGTTTTTTTAAATATTCCTTATAATCTAAAGAAAAACTATTCACAATTCAGAGAGATGTCAAATTGAAAATATTATTGAATAATAATAATAACATTTATATGTATTATGCAACTGGTAACAAAAGAACAATTAAATTGATAAGAAGAATAAAAAAATAGAAAAAGTGCAGAAATAATTTATAATAACAATTATATGAAATTCTGATATTTGGATCAAGTTTTAAATTATATAATTATATACAAAATATATAATTATTTAGTAATAGATACTTACATTTGTTTATTATCTTCTTTAGATACTAAATCTGAATTATTTTTCAAACACTTGCCAGAAACTATCCTCTGCACTTCTGGCTTGTTCTTCGATATAGAAGCTAATGTCGGATGTGACACCTGTTATGATAATATTGTCCTTGTTACGTGAAACTTGTTTTGAGTAAATTTTATAATAAAAGTCATGGATATGATTAAAATAGAGCTTTTAATTTCATGAGAATGAAGACAGGGGAAAATAATAAACATATTAATTGAAATTAATTATAATAGTTTGGTTTTTAATATTCTTTTAGATTACTTTCTTGTACGTATATTACTTTATTCATATGTGAATAATATTTATATCTCTTTTTTTGAATTTTTTTTTTTTTGAAAATATTAAATTTAATTTCCAGGAAATATTTAAACTTTTGATTGAACACAGTTGATAAAGATATACATTATATAATTCATTTAGTTTAGATGAATTTTATTCAAATTCATAATAGTAAACTGTAATTTTTTTTTAAAATAATTTTAAAGATATTTTCAGACAGTTATTTAATTTATTTTAATGAAACAATTAAATCATTTTTTTCCTAAATGAATAAAAATCATGAATGGTTTATATTGCTTATACTGAATTTGCGGTGCCATTTAAAATCTCTTGTTTATAATGAGCACTTTCTGTTTTAATGGACAAACTTTTAGAACTGAATTGTCGAAACGAGAAAAATGGTATGAATTAATTTGGCATTGTCATACATGGATGTTTAATATATTCATTCATTTATTCTAAACGTCACATATGTATACACAATATTATAATAAAATTGTCTTTCAAAATAAAAGCGACAATTTTTTATCCTTATTTATTAAAATTTTATTTATTAAAATTTATTTCATTAAAAATAATTTGTATTAATAAATATATCTATGATGTAAAAGATCAATAAAGTAGCTAGAATATATAAATATTGAAAATATTTATATAGTCTAATAGTAAAATATTCTAACCTTCAAATTTTCATTAAACTTTAAATCATAACCTTAAACTCTCATGAAACTTCATAATCCATGTTTAAAGTTAACTTATATATTTCATTTACATTGAATATCTGCTATCTTTTTTTTTTTTTTTTTTATCATTTTTTGAAATTCATTTAAATGAAATTTTAAAATCTCACCATGAAAATCAAACTATTCTTCATCGTATAATCTTTCGTCCGTTTATTTATTCATTTAATTTTTCCTCCGATTTATATGTATACATAAGAATTGTTTAATTTCAAAACAGAATATTCGTATTCATACTAGTTTATGAGCAATAGAACGAAATAAAATGTTCGTACAAAATTTTACTTAAAAATATTTCATGAATTTTCATGAAAGACACGGATTGTTTTTGATGATTTATATACGATATATCGAAATAGGGGTTGACCCATCCGCCATATTGGAATCGAAACGTTACGAGTTGAGCAAGAATCGCGTTTTATATCGGTTTCGTTGTTTTCCAAAGGCTATGGCTTTGCCTCGTTCATTATCCAAACGCATAAATTCACCAAACCTTGATACAAAACGCACGAGAAGCGCACTCGAAATCGATAAAACGACCATATACCTCCCTTTGTAACGCTAATTTGTTTCGATAAATTAATAATAAGTTCTGTTCCATTGTTCACTCATGAGTAATTATACAAAACGCAAATCGAAAATTTATATTCAGATAGAGAAATAAATTTTATTATTAAATATTATAAAAATATTCGTATTCACGAATCCTAATAACCATCAATTGATAGATGGTTAAAATGCTTCTTCTTTTTTTTTTTTTTTTTTTTAATTATT